AAAAAAAACTCAATGTAAAGACCCAAATCCTCACTACTAGACCAATAGGCAATATTATAATAAAGTGAGAAAAGAGAGAGGTCTAGGAGTCCCTCTTGCTTGGATCCATAATCAATGCTCATAGAAGCAGCAATTAGAAGACCTAACAATGCACTGCATTGGGTAAATGTGTTGTAAAAAACTCTAATTTAAAATTTTGAAAGGCAAGGATGTTAGTGACCGAAGGTGCATCTGATCTAAGGCAAGGATGGTGAGGCTCTGACTCATGGATTTTGGACCTGCTATCCAGAGACTAATCCCTGGAGAACATCGTGCGTGGTAAAGTAGAAGGACAGCAAAAAAGGGAAAGATCCTTGGCAAAATGTATTGACACAGTGGCTTCAATGATGGGCTCAAATATAAGAACAATGACCAGGATGGTGTAGGACAGGGCTGTTTTGTTCTGTGATACACAGGCTCACTATGAGTCGGAATGGATTCAATGACACCTAACAACAAGAACCCCTTCTAAAGAATGTCCTAGGAAATAGAGGAAAGAACTAGGAGGCAAAGGACATTTATAGAGGTCTAAATATAGGCATGTACTTATGTAAATATATTTATATATGACAATAGGGAAATAGATCTATGTGCATATATTTATAAGTATTAAGGCAGCAGACGGACATTGGGCCTCTACTCAAGTACTCCCTCAACACAAGAACACTTCATTATCATAACCTGGCATTTTCTGATGCTCACTTTCCCGACATGTTCGCTGAAGACAAAATGGGTGCATAAGCAAATGTGGTGAAGAAAGCTGATGGTGTCCAGCTATCAAAAGATGTAGCATCTGGGGTCTTAAAAACTTGAAGATAATCAAGCGCCCATCTAGCTAAGAAGCAACAAAGCCCACATAGAAGCACACCAGCCTGTGTGATCATGAGGTGTCAGTGGGATCAGGTATCAGGCAGGCATCAAAGACCCAAAACATAAAATCCTATCGATGTGAATGAGGGGTAGGGTGGAGTAGAGACCCAAAGCCCATCTGTAGACAATTGGACATCCCCTCACAGAATGGTCACAAGGAAGAGACGAGTCAGTCAGGGTGCAGTATAGCACCGATGAAACATACAACGATCCTCTAGTTCTTTAATGCTTCTCCCTTGCCACACACACCCCCCCCCCCACTATCATGACCCCAATTCTACCATGCAAATCCAGCTAGACCAGAGCATGTACACTGATGAGAGATAGGAACTGATCGCAAGAGTCTACATATAACCCTCTCCCTGGGGAACAAATAACAGAAAAGCGGATGAAGAGAAACAGTGATCCGTCTAAGACATGAAAAAAAAATTTAGAAATTATCAAGGGTTGGGGGTTGGTGGTAGTATAGGGGGTGGGATGAGCTGATACCAAGAGCTAAAGTAAAAAGAAAATGTTTTGAAAATGATGGTGGGAACAGTTGTACAAATGTGCTCAACAGAATGGATGAATGTATGGACTGTGATAAGAGATGGAGGAGCCCCCAATAAAATGATTTGAAAATAAAAGTCCTAGGGATCATAAAATTAAATATGAGTGGAGAACTTTCCAGACTTTGTCTGAAGGGTAAGCTATTACACCAACTTTGTTATACAGTTTATAGATTACTGCCAGGTTAAATTTAATTTTAGACTTTTCTTCCCAATTATCTTAAATTTCTTGAGATATTAATGATTAATAATGCACTTACATTACCAGTTTGTTCCTACAACATGTCATGCCAATTTGTTTCTCATTTTAAATTTCACAATTACTTTTTACATGCCAAATGGAAACAACTAAGATGTCCACATGGCAAGAAGGCTAATGATGGGATGGATCATAATAGCACTTTTGGTGGGAAAACCAAAGAAAATGTGATTCTATAATTACAAATTATTTTTGATAAATGTCATTAAACAACAGTGAGCAATATCTGACCTTGTAGTTAATAAAAACCAAGCTGCCAACTAAGAAATAACACAGTAGCTGACTTTGTGATTACATAAAATACTAACCTGGTAAGCTCTGTTTATTTGACTAGCTGCCCAACTAGCATATTTCATGTTGTCCTTTTTCGTTTTTGCGCTTGCTTTTGGATTAGAAGCAATATGACTTGCAGACTGAAAAAAAATTTTTTTAAAGAATTATCAAAACCAAAATCCTTTGTTCTAGCCACAATAGTAAAAAAAAAAAAAAATGTAGGTAGTACTTGTAATGCAATAGTAGTTTCAAAATTATATAAAATAAATCTTTAAAATGAAAATAAAATTGACTGAAATTAGTGTTTAAAAAGATTAAAAATGTATTTTTAAACAAAGTATAACCCAAAGTAATGGAAAAAAGACATTAAATAATATTCACAAGCACTCATATATCTGCCACAGCTTTTAAAGATAAAACCCCTATCACTTAAATAAAGCAAGTTTATAAACTAAAACTCACTTTATTTTTCTTGTTACTAAATTATTACAGATTTCCTATATCAGAATTAGAGATTTGCTTAGTGTTAATAGAAAAGGCCTCAAAAATAACTTAAAACAACTTCCTATGATAGCAGTTGAAAAGGAGTGCTTTGACTTAACCAAAGCAAGTTAACAGAAGTGTTAAAAAGAGAAAGGGATGCTTACCTCCTCCTGTTCATTTCTGTCCTCACTACACTGTGTCCCTTAGAAAGAATTGATGTCATCACCCCAAACTCACTGCAATCGAGTTGATTCTTACTCAGAGACCCTACTGGGAAGGGTAGACTGCTTTTGTGGGTTTCTGACATTGTAACTCTTTACAGGAGTAGAAAGCCTCTTTCTCCCTCAGATTGGCTGGTGGTTTCAAACTACTGACCCTGCAGTTAGCAAGCTGAAGGAATAACCACTGTCACCTGGGCTTCTACTGTCCTCACTAGAAACCTTCAGTTTGCTACATTCACTCCTTTTAAAAATGCATTTAAACTAGGGATTCTTAAGCTGTGATACACGGAAGAATGTATAAACCCCTTAAAAATTCACTGTCTTCGAGTTGATTCTGACTCATAGTGACCCAACAGGACAGACAGAGTAGGACAGCTCCAAAAAGTTTCTAAGGCTGGAATCTTAAGGGGAGCACACTGTCCCATCTTTCTTCTGTGGAGTGGCTGGTAGGTTCAAACCACTGACCTTTGGGTTAGCATTCAAATACTTTAAACATTGCATCGCCAACCAATCCCCACAAAACCCCCACAAACCCATTGGTGTTAATTCTGACTCACAGGTATCCTAAAGGGCAGAAGAGAATTGCCTGGAGGTTTCAAAGGCTATAGCAAAATGGAAGCAAACAGCAACGTCTTTCTCTCGAAGAATGGCTAGTGGGTTTGAACCGGACCTCTCATTTAAAAGCCAAGTGCTTTGAACACTATAACCAGGGTACCATAAAATCCCAGAAAAGTATGCTTATTTTTAAATGTATACTTGTATTTTTCAAAGATAGACTTTTCTTACTACTTCTTAAAGAGATGTGTCCAAGGGACTGAAAAAGTTAGGCTTTTTCCCCCTTTATTTTAAAGTAATTTTTTTATGACTAGGTTAAACCTCTTTTAAATTAATATTTAGCATGTGACATGCTCTTTAACCTATGTGCCTCCTCTGCTAATAAGAAAACTGTATGATAAAAATTTTAGTGTATATCTCTGGTGTATAATGCCAATTTTCAGCAATGCAATGGTTAATATGCATGTGGACCCTAATGCCTGAGCTGGAATCCCAACATAACAATACCGTATATACTCGTGTATAAGCCGAGTTTTTCAGCACATTTTTAATGCAGTTTGTGTGGTAAAATTAGCTGTCTCAGCTGATATTTGGGTCGGCTTATACTCGAGTATACATGGGTAGTACTATGTCGGGCTTTCGATTAATGAAATCTCTCTGGTTCTGTTTCAGAAGCCCTAGTGGCACAGGGGTTGAAGTACTTGACTACTAGCCCAAAGGCTCCAAACTCCAGCCCTCTACGTGAGAAAGATGTGGCAACCTGCGTGCTGGACAGATGTACAGCCCTGGAAACTATGGGCAGTTCTACTCTGACCTCTAGTGTCACTATCAATTGAAATTGGCTCTGTAGCAGCGGGGTTGTGGTTTTTGCATTCTGTTTCACCATACAGTGCACATAATAGTAACTACTCAAATATTTGATGTAAGGATTTTGGTGATAAAAAAAATAATAAAAAATTTAAAAAACAGTTCAGAAAAATAGTTGGCACATAAAGTGCTATGTATATGAACTATTTTAAATATTTTATTAGCAAACATTTTGAAATTAACTTTTACTTATTTCACAAACAACTGTCCTGTATTTTCAAGCTATTTCAATTGGTTCTGACAGAATACAGGTGAAATGTGTTTTGAAAATCTAGCCCAAATTTTACTCCATTTCTTAAAAGTAATTTTGTATTTCTTCCTTTCTCTATTTCTTTAATCACTTCATTTCAGCTAACCCCCAAGCAGAGGATATGCATTAAGAAAAAATATTTATGAAAAGATTAAAATAGACAAAAATGGTGATAAGTAGCCTATAAGAGTTTCTTCTCCCAGTCTGACTACAGAGAGCTCACTTTATGTGTATTGTTGAAACTCAGCAATTTCTTCCTTTTTTCCCCTTAATTGACTCTTTTAAGCTCAAAAGAGTTTTTGATTTTTACACAAAAACAGTAAAAACAATTAATATATATGTTGTTTACCACAATTTCAAAATTGCTTCTATAGCATAAAAAAGCTTAATATGAAACATGAAACTTTAAATTTCCTTTTGTCATTTATTGACTTAGTGTAAAATATCACAAGTTACTTAAGGTGAGTGATACAACGTTAAGCATAAACCAAAGACTATCAAAACAAATTTTAAAAGGTAAAATATGGTTTTCTACTTAAAAATCAGATTTCAATTCTGATATAATAAAATATATTTTACAATGAAATATTTAACAACTTAAAAAAGAAAGCTGCCTTCCAATATATTGCTGCAAATCAATAAAATAAAAAACAAAAGGAGCAATTTGACAGCATAGGGTTTTAAGTAACAGGATTCACAAATAACATTAAACATACACCTCAACTCACCATGTAAAGGCCAAACAGAGCTCTCATGTTTCTGTTGTTTAGTTTCAATGACTGTGCAAAGTACTTTCTTGAAAGTTCGAGGTTTTCAAGTCCACCTTGAGTATATTTAACCTGTTAAAATTTCAGAGTGCTGAAACCTGTTTATTTAACTACTTTGAAATAAAGCATGTTTCATCATACCATAGACATTAGTAATTGTAAAAGATATTCTAAAAACACGGCAAGAAGTTAAAAGAATTCATCTTACGGCTTTTTAAAGCTAATCTAAATTGAAACACATACCCCACCACTAAAACTACAACATCCAAATGTTTCCATGATAAAAGTCATTACCAAATTCTACTTTCCTCTACTTCCCAAATGCTTCACAACATTTCAGTTTCTATAAATACCATTATAAATCTAGACTTGGATCCTGGATTGTCATCTTATACTAGATTGTCATTTGCATTGACATTCCTTAATAATGAAGTACTTCTAACTTCATGGCATTCAATTATCTTGCGAATGCACTGCAGTAGATGCCCACTGGGTAAACAGATCCTATTTTCTGAAGCAACTTCTTAATAGTGAGCTAATAAAATTATTCCCATGTCCCCCAAATTAATGTAAATTTCCTAAAAGATAGATTTTAAGAACTGTAATTTATATGTCTCAGAAATTTAATGCTGATGGCCGTGGCAAAATATTCAAATCATAATGTCATAAGTCAACCACTGAATTCATTATTAGGAAAGAAAATAGTTTTCAAATGAAGAACTATAAGGAACTGCACTATTTAAAATAAGTACTTTCAATGGAAATGTCAGTATTTCCATTACAGTATTAAAATTATTTAACTTTTACTTCCACAACTCAACTTTCAACAGATGTTTTAAATATTTATATACTTGCCTAACTTTAAGGAAATATTTTTAGTTCCACAACCCCCAGCAGTAAAGATAAAATCGTATACAGTTGTTGTCTGTGAAAACACTTACTTCTGCATACTGCTGACAGTACAAGTGGTTATGTGGATTAGTCATCATAAGCTCCTCTAAACAAAAGGCTGCTTTTGCATAGCTGAAAAATAGCAAGAGGAGAAATGACTTTTAGATGTGACATGTTATCTCAGTCTCAGCTACCCCTTAAAATACTTATACATATTTTAATAAGGAAGTATTTATCATGAAAATACCAAACATTACATTTTTAAGTGCAAACGAGTTAAGAAACAAAGGCTTCAATCTTCAGGGGCCTAAAAACAAATCAATAGGGCGCACATTTTTACACCGGGCTGCATGCACTATGAAGACCTTCAGGAACTCTGGTGGCTCAGTAATTACACAATGGGCTGCTAAACACAAGTTCATCAATTTGGAACCAGCAACAGCTCCATGGGGGGAAAAAATGGCTTTCTCCTCCTGTAATGAGTTCCAGTTGGAAACCCCAGAGGCAGTTCTACCATGCCCTATAAGTTACTATGATGTTGAAAAATTAACAGAATAGGCATCAAGATCTTGAACATAAAATAACTCCGTAAGTCCACTGATAGTTTCATAAAACATTCAAATAACATGTAAGAAGGAAAAAAGACATTTTATTAAATACTCTTCATAAAACAGAGTCCATTCATGGGGCAGTTAATACACTTAGATGTGAGCCATTAGGTTGAGGTTCTAGCCCACTGAGAAGTACCTTGATTAAGGTGACCAGATGTCCCGCTTTTGGTGGGACAGTCCCGATTTTTAACAATTTTTCCCTTGTCCCATGGCGTTTTTAAAAAGTCCCGATTTTTGGAAAGAATGCATGACAAGCTAGGGTATACGGTTTTCGGCTGCCATGTGGCTATTTCGCTAGGATATGAGTTTTATCAAAGGTGTCCCGCTTTACCAATGTTGAAATCTGGTCACTTTAACCTAGATAGAGAGGGTTCGCAACCTACTGCTAAAAAAAAATCAGCCACTCAAAACCCCCTTGGAACACAGTTCTGCTGACACACATGGAGTCATCTGACGTGGAGTCACCTTGACAAGCAGCTGATTAACTGATAATCACACATTCCACACGTCTGAATTTGTTAACAGATTTTATGTCAAAGATTTCTGATTATTAAGCTTAATGTAAAATACAAAATTACTATGTAATTATAAATGTTAAGGTCATGAAAAATAGATCCTTAATGGTTTTCATAGGCACTCTGCTTACATGGTGTACAAAAATAAAATTTTACTTAAAACTTACAGATAAAATTGCTCAAAAAGGTTTTGGAAAAACAGTTTTAAACCACATGACTCAAATCCACTTGATTTTTATATGGTTAAAACCATGTGGATACCATCACAGTTAAGAGGAAATCCTAACGAACACAGGTGTTCTACGATGTACTCCCTTGAAATAGTAGTGGTGGCACCACGCAATAAAAGGC